GTTTACATTAGGATACATTCTATGTGTTGTATATTCTGTGGGGTTTGACAAATACATAATATCATGTATCTGTGATTACAGTACCATACAGAGTAGTTTCCCTACCCTAAAAGTCCTCCTGCTACACCTATTCGTCCCTCGTTGCCCCTTCCCAAATCCCTGACAACCACTGATCTTTTTACTCTCTCCATAGTTTTGCTTTTTCCAGAGTGTCATATAATTGGAATTATACATTTTCAGACTGACTTCTTTCATTTAGTAATGTGCATTTAAGGTTCTTCCATGTCTTTATGGCTTGATAGCTCATTTCTCTTTATCCCTGAATGATATTCCATGGTATGGATGTACCACCACAATTTGTTTATCCCTTTACCTATTGCAGGACATCTTTGCTTCTAGTTTTGGGCAATTATAAATAAAGCTACTATAAGTTTTCATGTGCAGGTTTTTTTGTGGCCTTAAGTTTTCAACTCATTTGGGTAAATACCTAGGAGCATGTTTGTTACATTGCATGGTAACACTATGTTTAGTTTTATAAGAAACTGCCCACTGTCTTACAGTGGCTGTATCATTTTGCATTCCTAGTAGTAACAAATGAGACTTCTTTTTTATCCAAGCCCTGGCCAGCATTTGACACTGTTATTTTTTTGGATTTTGGCCATTCTAATGGTTGAGTAGTACGATCTTGTTTTAATTTGCATTTCCTGATCATAGAGATGTGGGAGATCTTTTCATATGCTTATGTGCCACCTGTGCATCTTTGGTGAGGTGTCTATTCAGCTCTTTTGCCCATTTAAAAATAAAGGTTTTTTCTTATTGTTGAGTTTTAAGAGTTCTTTGTATATTTTGGATATAAGTCCTTTATCAGATAGGTGTTTTACAAATATCTTCTCACTGTCTGGCTTCTCACAGTCTTTTCATATCTTAATAGAGCTCATTTTTAATGACTGTTTATTGAATCAACCACTTTCTTTAAATTAAAGTCTTAGAATATTTTCTGTATTATCTCTGATTATAGTCTCATGTAGTTTCTAAATGTTTATAACTTTGCCTTTTAGATTTAGCTCTCTAATCCTAATCCACATTGATCTTTTTTGTGTATTTAGTATGAAGTGTAGGGATTTAATTTAAATTATTTCCATGTGGATAACCAATTGCCCTGACACCAATTATTGTATAATAACTAAGTTCTAATACTTTTTGTTTTCTTTGTATCTTTAAGATATGTCTTTTCTGTTTGTTTAGTTAGTTCCACAGTAGAAGGTGGAAAGTACTGAAATATACAGATCTCCTCAACTTTCACAGTCAGTGTCAGAAATACCATTTAAAGGTGATAAATCAGAGACTACAGATAAAGATATATTTTAAGGTACATAAAGATAAGCTGTAAAAAATGTCAACTAAAATTGGGTAGTGGGTTAAAGGGAACAAATATCTGTCATATTATCAGGAGTTAACAGTACTATGTAGAACATGTTAATACAAGTTTGGGTATTAAATAAAGTTATAGTCAGTAATATTGTTAATATTATTAGGTATAGCAGTTAGATTTGAAAAATGCTCTTTAAATGCTTCATATGTAGTAACTCATTTAATTCTCATAACAATCCTAACACGTAAATGCTGTCATTATCCCCACTTTACAGGTGAGTTATAAAAAGCATAAGTCACTTGCTGAAAGTTATACAGTAAAGGATTCAACCCAGGGAGTTTACCCCTAGTGTGTATGTCCTTAGCCATTATGATATATCACACCTTAAATATAGCTGTTTCAAATTTATATACACTCAAATGTAAAAAAATAAAAACTAAAGAATCAATAAAACCAAAAGAGGACTAAAACCAAAAGATTATCAAATTAACAACTATAAAGGGGCTAAAGATGAGGCAGGCCTGTGTATATTCTGAAATTGAAAGAGCTTTGCCAGTAGTTATAAATAAGCAGGATGAGGAAGAACACTGGAAAACTACAAGTAATATAGGTGGTTCTTCTGTTTAAAAACACCAAAAAACTCTAGAATGTGTGCACCATGTGTAAATGGATAGAACAAGGGCTGACATATATATATATATATATATATATATATATATATATATATATATATATATATAT